TTTTTTTTTTTTTTTTTTTTTTTTTTTTTTTTTTTTTTTTTTTTTTTTTTTTTTGTAACAAAGATAGTGTTAAGTACTAAAATTTGTATTTATTTATATATATATATATATATATTCTATTTTAACTAACTTGGACTCACTCGTCTACATAAAGTTTAAAAGTCCAAGGGAAGAAAGAGAACGATAGAGAGAAAACAGTAATTAAAAATAAATAAATAATTCATGGGTTTCGGGCTTAGGAAACCAAGTTCCTAAACCCTGGTTCGTCTAAACAGCCATTTATAGTTGAACTGGGCCCAGCCTTTTATAGTTGAACTCGACCCAGCCTTTTATAGTTGAACTGGACCCAGCCTTTTATAGTTGAATTCGGTCCGGGCTTCATATTTGAATCGGGCCGATCCATTTATAGTTGAACGGCCCAGTCTTATCTAGTTGAATTGGGCCGCGCCATTTATAGTTGAATTGGGCCCAGCCTTATAGTTCAATTGGGCCCAGCCTTATAGCTCAATTGGGACGAGCCTTTTATAGTTGAAATAGGCGACGCCATTTGTAGTTGAATTGGGCCCGGCCTTTATAGTTGAATTGGGCTGAACATTTCTAGTTCAGTTGGACCCAACCATTTAGAGTTGTATTGGGCCGAGCATTTATAGTTGAATTGGGCCCAGCCATTTATAGTTCAATTGGGCCGAGTCATTTATAGTTTAACTGGGCCCAGCCATTTATAGTTGAATTGGGCCCAGCCTTTATAGTTGAATTGGGCTCGGCCTTTATAGTTGAATTGGGCCCAGCCTTATAGTTCAATTGGGCCGAGCCTTTTATAGTTAAAATAGGCGCCGCCATTTGTAGTTGAATTGGGCCCGGCCTTTATATTTGAATTGGGCCGCGCATTTCTAGTTGAATTGGGCCCAGCCATTTAGAGTTGTATTGGGCCGAGCCATTTATAGTTTAATTGGGCTATTTTTATAGTTTAATTGGGCTCACTTTTTATAGTTTAATTGGGCCTTGCCTTTTTATAGTTTAATTGGGCCTGGCCTTTATAGATGAATTGGGCCGGGCCTTTTCTAATTGAATTGGACCCTGCCTTTTATAGTTGAAATAGCGGAATACAAAAGTGGGCCTAAATCCTATACCCAACATGAAACAGCCCAATACTAATGTGGGCCGTAAACCAGAACCTAACTCGAAACATCCCGAAAGAAAAGTGGGCCTAAGCTCTCAGCCGAATATGAAGCAGCCCAATGAGAAAGTGGGCCTAAGTTCTAAACCTAATCTGAAACAGCCTCTTATAAAAGTGGGCCAAAATCCGGTTCGGCCTTTTGTGTTCTTCCGCTAGTCAAGCAAGAATGAAAACTCGTGGTCGCTCGCAGTTGTAATTCAATTGCTGTTTGCTGTGCTTGAGGATGGAAGTCGACGGTGCGGTGGTGATTGAAAAAGTTGCAGGAAAATCAGCCGTTAGCAGATGCTTTTCTAAGTATCCCATCAAATTCATCATTCCCAGAAAGGTCTGTTGTTTTATTCTAATCATCTTTTTCTCCGTCATTAGCCAAATATGTTCAATCGCTTCTAGTGGTTCTTCTGTTAGGTTGGTCCTTCCAAAACTGATGTTATTTGGATTTACACTCTCAATTATGGCGGCGGCATTGTCTCTGTACGATGAATAACATTTCCCCTTTTCAATTTATTTTTTACATTTTTTCTTTTGATCATTCTTATTCGGGGCACGTTTTTCTGAGGCAGGGAGATTCAATTTCGTGCGAGTTGACCGTTAAAGATGGCTGCACTGCAGCCCTAACGACCCAGTCTTCTACTAAGGTGATCAATCTTCAGATAATTCGCCACTTCCTTATTTTTGTTTAGTGGATTAGGAACTCATGCTAAGTGTGTTGTACTTGATCTATCTTGTTCTTGGTACTTGATCTATTTTGCAATCTTATGCTGCTTTAGGTTTACAAGTCCCGGGGAGAAGAGCGCTCTGAACAACTATTGGAGGTAACAAGACGAAGATTGTTAATATCTGCCTTAATATTAATTGCTCTGAAACTACTTTAATGTCTCGCATTATTGTTTGTTTTATGATACTAGAGTTCAAGGTTCTTTTTGAAGTTCTTTCTACGTTTCCATAAATATATGTCTGTGTAGCTAGATGAAGTTTAGCATTCTTCTGCAGTAGGCAAGGATTGGTAGTGATGCCCTTTTGGCGGTACTTCCAGATCCAGTGACATGCTTCGCCACCGCAAGGTATGCGCAGAAACAAGTGTTTAGAGTTGATTCAAGATCTAGTTTGGTTCTTGTTGATTGGTTTACAAGTGGACGCCATGGGAGGGGAGAAATTTGGGAGTTCAATCTTTTCAAGAGCACCAATCAAATATTCTTAGAAGACGGCCATCCATTGTTTTTTGATACGGTAAAGCTAAAAGTGTCTTCACTGATTCATTCTGTACTATAAGTGCTTAACTAGAACTTTATGCACAGATTCATTGAGTTTGTGTCTATTGTCTATTTTCTGCTTGATAATATAGTAGTGAGGGATCGTGATTGAATACGAATCTAGAACGATGCCCCAACTGTGCTGCATCACATTCCCTTCTCACTGCATTGTCATTCATACATCATATAGATATGTTAAGATACAGGCTTTCCAATTTTTTTCTTTTGTTCATGAGAAGTGCTTTATACTAGCATCTACAGTGGAGTATGATGATACAATTTCTTTAAGATCTTTTTCTGAAGCCATATATTGTTTCATTGCAGGTGCTTCTAGAGCAAGGAAGCACGAACTCTATAATAGAACGCATGCATGGATACCAAGTCATTGCAATGGTTGTCATTTTGGGGTAGACACTTGAGTACTCTGAACCTATGAAGATCAGGAAATTTGTTTTCTAATTTACATCATTGTTGACGGTGGCTTCACTGCAGGCCAAGGGTTAAGAAAGTCCAAGACGAAGTTCAAGAAAACGTGAAAAAGATGATGAGTGACCAGTTATATTCTCCTTTTACTTCTACCCGTGGAGCCCAAATGAACAAGAACTCTGATCATTTGTATGCCAAACCTAGAATCATTGCTTCTTCCAGCGTCTTTGGCCCCAAGGTTAGTTTTTTTCTTTTCTTTTTTAAATAAAAAAGAATGCATTGTAGATAAATTTTCCTGTAAGCATGGCCTCCAAATTTGTTGGGATCTAGTAACAACTGCTAAGTGGACTACGAATTCTAAATGTTACTGTTTACATTTAGGGAATTGGCACCGTTGTTAGAATCGCTGCCATGGAAACTGAAACAGTCTACAGGTTTCTCCAACAACAGTTAGCTTCAATGGAGCCACTTCTTGGAGTGCCCCCTTATAAATGAAAGATAATAAGAGTATTACTCAAAACTCTAGGGCTGGTAGGATTGTGGATTACGAGTTCCCAAGTGTTTTTGTACTATTCTGCAAATGGGTAGCCCAAGTGTTGTACTATTAGCTGGAAATCTTCCAAGTGTTGTACTATTCTATTCTGTAAATGGGAGTCTTCCCCTTCTAACGGAGCATCCGTCTGTAGAATATTGTATCAATAAAGTGAAGAAGAGGAGCCCCCAAGTTATCCGGCTGCCTTATTGGACCTATATCAAAGCTGTAGACTAGTTTTGGTGTGGGGCTTCTCCAGTCCATTTACTGGGTGTTCAATAGAAGAAATGACGTTTTGTAGGGTGGATTAGCTTTATGAACGGTGAATTATTACTTTCTTAGGTGGGAAAAAGTAATTATAAGCAGGCACACTTGGACTATACCTTCTGCCGATCGAGATGGGGAAAGAGCCTTCATTTTAGACAATTACAATTCAACGAAAATAATAACAAACAATTATGAACAATCTGAAGAGTGGAATTGAGTTAACGAATTCACTTCCGACGACTAATGATGTACATTTGCCCAAATAAATTTATAAATTTATAACCTGATAGTAATAACCAATAAGATCAATGGCAGCTAAAGCCCACACAATCTTTGATGGTCTTTAGGAAATATTTGTATTAACAAAACCAAATAAGCAGTCATTTGATGTCACAAAGCATTAAATGATTCACACTATACCTCACAAGTATAAGAAAAATGGACCTCATTTTCAATGGTTGCTCTGAAATAATAAAGCCGGTGACTCACAAATAGATTTTGGAAAAATTGACTCGACTAGAAAGAAATTTCACAAGGTGCGTGAAAAGTCCTTCCACGGCATATCGCTTCCAGGTTTTCTCCAGCATATGAACAAAGTGGTGATACCTCCACACCTGGGTTCAATATCAAATATATATATTACATCAGAATACTGCATTTCAAAGAGTTGGTAACATAGTCTAGTGAAGATATTTGGCTATCAAAGTAAGTTTGCAAAATCTTTTCTTTCTAGTTTATATGTATAATGAATCACTGAAGTTCTGAAGATATTTTATGAACATTATCTATAATTCAAGTATTCACAAATATACCAGTTGCATATAAGGGCACTGAATGTGTCAAGAATCCACCAGCTGCAACCACCCAGCGAGCATGGAGTCTAAGAACAAGAAGTCTAGCACTATCTGGAGTGTCAAAGTTTGACCCATTGGCATTTTTCACTGGTGCAAACTCTTCTTCTCGTAAGATCTAGTTAAAGATACGAAAAATGAACCTCGTACACTAAGTAAGGCGATAAGAACGCTCCTAAAATAGTTCAAAAGAATATATACAAGAGATGCTTTCACCTCAAACAGTGCAGTAGAAGGAGCATAAGGAAATGCATCGAATATGAACTGCTCCATTTTTAATCCCATTGTATGCCCGTGAATAGAAGGAATTTTTTTCTCCGCCAGATGGTAGCTACAGTTAGAAGAAGCATATGAGCAAGCTCTTCATGATATATATACAAACTGCAGAATTGCTGTCAACAAAATAAGACAAATTGAAGACTAGCAGTCTTCTGAAACTGTGTGATACTAATCTTATCTCATCTATCTAGCCCTTAACACGGTTATTAGTCACCCAATACCTGGATAATGAAGATGGATTGTAAACTGGATGTTCCTCATTTGACAACTAAGCTAGATCAGATTCTCCCTCTCCTTGTATACCAAGAAAAAACCCAACCCAGGCATAAAAACTAGATTTACATGACTAATCAAGAAAAATGAACGAGATAAATCTTCAAATTTATTTGAATAGCAAGGAAAGCTGAAATGCAACAAAAATGTGAATACACGAAAGCAGAACCACAAGAATATCAAATAAATCCAAGCCTGAGCTCAATATTTAATCAACTCCATACTAGATTTAAGAAGCTTTTTCATATTCAAAAATCATCCATCAATGTCCAATGTAAACCAAGTCTGGAGTTGAAATGTATCACTAATTCTACAACATTCAATTGTAAAAGGGAATTTTAGATTCTATGAAAAAATAAATTGAAGAAAAAAAAAAGTGTAGATCCTTGTTCATCTTCGGGTTAAATAAACCTTAGCAATCAAAACTAGAGTAGACTACTATCCAACCATCTAACCATAATCATTCATTGAGCATTTTCATCATTTCCTAAACTGAGTAATGGTTCAAAACATTTGCAAGGCCTAAAACAGGTTCTAACAGTTAGAACATCATAACAAACCAGGATAGGGAAACATCAAATGGACAGTTGAATCCTTAGTTCCATTATAAAAATTTTGAATGGAGGGAAGAGAGAGGGAGAGAGAGAGAGAGAGACTAACATGCTGTCCTTTTCAAGACCATTTGCCACTTGGTTTAGAAAATCCAAAGTAAACATGTGTAAGCACACCTGAACATGAAAAATGAAATTCGAACACATTTAAATTTCATATTCATGATATTAAAAGTCTAGAAGCATAAAAAATGAGAGTGACATGATAAATTAGTAGTATAGAGTGCAATTCTGAAAAAGGATTAAAGGTTTTGTTCCATCAAAAGGACATATGATCTTCAGCACTAAAGAAGTTTGGCTATAAAATTTAAAAGAACGTATTACAATTTACAACTATACATGGAATGAATCAAAACAAATCCAAGTACGAAACAATCTCATAAATGACAGGCAATTAGCATTTGACCTTCATAAAATGGTTCTGGAAGATATGTACTTGGGTTCCTGATAAAGAGAGATCATACCGGTGGATATTATTTTTTACATCTGTCCTATACTTAATTCTGTAATATGACTAATTATGCTACTATACACGCACATATATGGAAAGAATTAAAAGATATCCAAGAACGAAACTCTCCTAAATGGTAGCTAGCATTTGACTTCTATGGCTCAGGAAGATATGAACTATTCATGACTTACAGAGCTGGAGAATATTACACTTATATCTTCTATTTACTTCAGAAATATGGTTATGTTGAGCCACCATGCACATACAAAGAAAGTTCCAAGAGGTGTTGGGGGATGATTTACAGTGGCTTTATCTTGATCCTAGATTGAATGGACTTGCCTCAGTTTTCGAGGGCTTTGGTATGGAAATTTTTGTCCGACGAAAGAAGACGGTCAAACAAAAGTGGACTTGAGTTAATTGGCGAACTACTGTTCTTCCTATTTGTAAAGGGGGCCTTGGATTAGGTAATCTAAAGAGTAAGAACATCACTTTGATTGCAAAGTGCGGGTGCCTATTGATGCAGAAGAGTAAGGATTGTAGATGAAATTTGACAAAAAAGTAAATACAGTACACAGTAGCAGGCAGCCATTAAATAGGTTGCTAGAAGTTCATTTTCGGGCATAAAATTTAGGAGTAAAGAAATATTGAAAAACTAATTCTTTATCCAACTGAACGAACCTAAAAAACTGCTTTTGCAAATAATTGGGCTAAATACAAAAAAGTAATATACGTCAAAAATACTATTTCAGCTGAAGAAAAAAGTGAAACAAACATTACATTACTCCAACAGAAACGAAGGCGCCCCGTTACTTGATTGATTGCAGAAGCCAGTGATGGATCCAATTCACTGTACTCAACCACAGTGAGCGGTCCCCCTTTACCTCGTCGGACAAATACGCCAACCTTCTCTTGGGGATATGCCTGAAACCAAATGAATTAATAAAATAAAATAAAACACAATTTACTCTTTGGAAAAACGCATGAGGGTCAGCTAAGGTCAGTGAAAATGTTAAAGCATCGATCTCATTTGTCGGGCATTCATTGGGGCAATGTCAGAGAAGTTATAAACCAGACGTGAGAAATTTTTTACAAGTATGCACCAAGAAACTAAATCATTTTTAATACTCGGTCGTCAACTTGAGTCCACATCATTTTTTTAAATATATACTTGAATGTTCAAGCTCTCTACTGTGCACCTTCCACATAGAAAGAACAAAGATTATAATCTCTACATTATATTATATGCATTTCCAAACAGCAAACACCATCATCCAGAGTGTAACAATATCTAAAAGGAGATAGAAGCCAACAGTCTTTATCAGAGACATGCAACTAACACACACAAAAATTTATTCAAGACAAAAGCTTCTTAGAACCAAGATTTTAATAAAAGAAAATTGAACAATTAATCTATTTCCATATGTATAATAAATAATTAGATTAATTACCTTACGAACAACTTTTGCTGCTGCTGATACACCTTTATCAATGAAATAACCCAAGAATGTTGGATCAGCCACGCGAACCTATAACCAAGATGCAAAAGTTTGAAACATATTAATAATTTTTGCAAAATCACGTATCCAGCACAAAGAAAATTCAGTTGATATGGCTACTCACTAAGGCATTGTCAACTCCATAGCAGTCTATATATTTAATACCTCTTGCTGACATATCTTCTAATAAGTTTGAGGATCTTAAAGCTGATCAACAAACAACAGGTTCACATAAGAGGGTAAAAAATAGAGTTAGAAGTAGCCAACAACTTGAGCTTATGAGTTTGACCAGCTTACCTGCATATACTCCTCCATTCCCATCTGGAGCCTTAGATACCTGGCTTTTAAATATTCAAACTTTTACAACCATGGTTTTGATATAATTGGAATTAGAGAATTACAGTGTGATGCAAAGATATGGAGCTCAATAACATCAAAATCATCGTAATGTTAATTACTGGGACCCAAAGAAGATGGCCACCAATTTATCGATCCAGTGTTCATTCACTATGTATTATTGCCCTGTACCCTTGACTTCCAACAAATTCTTTTCATAAGATTCTTCCCTGCCTCTTTAGTTCATCAAATACAAATATGGGCTAAATATTTTGACACGATCTCAGGAAAATAATAAGTATTTCCATCACAACATTCTCTACCTCGAGAAATTTAAGATTTTCTACAAGAGTCGCATAACTGGGGGCATGATGGGGGAGGGAGGAAAAGTAGGATAGCGTGTAAATGATATGATATGGATAACTGGGGATTGATCAATTCATATGGAAAAAAGTTTGAAGCCATACTTTGTATGGTGTCTCCATCACAAATCTACCATCCTTGGATATACAAGGAATGGTGCCCTGCTGAAAGAAGGTGACCTGCAACCCGGATATGGTGAAAGTGAGTACCAGAGCAAGCAAGGAAAAATGAGAAAAAGTATAAGCATCTAAAGGATTATAACTTGATTAGCCTCCAAACCGAAAAATCTCTGCGTTTCAAAAAAATTGCGAGTGGCCTCATCAGTAAATGGACTGGTCATCACATACCAATGAATTGATGCAGAACCGGTAGAATCTGAGATCAATATGTATGTCAATAACTGTCACTAACATCCATTATAATATAAACTTATCTAAAGTCTCTAGTACTCAGAATTAAAGCCCGACTCCAATATCTTCTACCGAAAGTTGGTTACAGCCACAAGGTCCCCCCAACCTTCAGGGGTAGACAGAAAACAAAAAGGTAAGAATACTGAAAATTGAAAACTTACTATCAGTCGTGGCTTGAGCAGCTAATCTTTGAACACGCAAAATTCTCTCAGCTTGAAGTTGAAAAAGGGATTTCCCCGATGGAAGTCCAATATCTAACAAAGATGTATATAAAAAAAATAAAAATTCTCGAGTGTATTGGTGATATGAATATAGGAACAAATATGATTATGAATTTCCTCCTCCCTTCAATGCAAATATGAAATTAGAAAGTATAAGGATTCAATTATTTTGAGTGTATGAGAGAGAGGAAAGATATTGAAGTCATTAATCGTCCTTGTACCCAATAGTTTGAAAATACTCGGACAACTATTGGATTCTTATGTAAATTGAAGCTTTTCATGTGAATTGCCACACTTCCAGAAGGTCGAGAAAGGTATAAGCTTCTTATGTAAATTGATAATTCAACAAGTAAATAAATAGAAGACTAAAACATCAAATAAATTTAAATTACACCTCCATGGAGAACCCTAAAGTAATTGCTAATTCAGAGAATCTGATTTTACTTACTGAAACATCCCTTAGGATCAGAACTGCCCAGCCGAGTTCCCTGCATTTGAATACCACAATAGATATGTGTTAGACCCTAGTTGTACAAAGTCGATATAAGTCTCAAAAATTTTTAGACATATCAAATAGACACATGATCATATAGAACAAAATTAACATTCTTAGAGAAATATACATCAAACTCATTTTTAGCATATAAATGCATAAATTATTGACTTCGAATTTTCTTCTTGTATAAAAATGATAAATATATATTAAAAAATAATTTAGTCAAGCGTGATGGACTCCTTGGTAACTATAGTCTCTGCAATGCCATCTTATACACTAAAAGAAAGTATTTTAAAACAAAATAAATAATTCGATTTCTGGGTAGTACTTTTTCCCTTTTCTTTTTTTTTTCTTTTTTTTTTTTTTTTTCAATTCTTACATCTAGGAATTTGTCATCTTCCATAAAGGAGCTGCCACGAGGTGAGTTGTTTCATCGTGATAAGTATCGAGTGGAAGTCACAGTTTATTTGGACATGGACCTCTCCATAAGGTAGTTTTAGTTTATCTGAATTAATCAGAAATTTCGTTTAAAAAACGAGGGGAAGGGGTGGAAGGATGTACCTAAAAAGAGAAGGATCGCTTAAAGTACATCACAAGCTTAGATTGATGAAGCTTTATAGTGGAGTATAAAGGTCGACACAAAGCAAAGGGAATCAATGCGAAGCAGTCGAATCAAGTTTTGCCAAAAAGTTAAAACATTCTAAGGAGAAATGGAAAATTATACCTGACCGCCAGATAAAAGCAATACAGCCAACTTTCCATCCGAGATGGCCTTCAGCCCCGTCTTCCACCATCTCTCTCTTTCCTCAAGAGTTCGCTCCTCCAGCGTCGACACGCAACTCTCGGGTACGGGCTCAATTGCAGCCGCAGGCAGCCCTATAACCTCAATGCAATTCAATTTAATAAAAATCAAATTAAAAAAATAAAAAAAAAGAGGACACGATGAAGATACCAACCTTGAGAACGAAGCGAACATCGAATGATTCGATCTACTCTGGAAAGGTCCAAACTCTGAAAAAGAGCATCGACAATCATGTTACAATCATGTTACAATCATGCATTGAGCATCGGGGATGAACATCACAAGAAAAGAAAATAACTAATTTGACACCAAAGAAATGAGCAAAATCAGCTTCTTTAGCTGCATAGAAACTAAAAAACGACGAGAAATTGAAAATTCTGAAAATTACTGAACTCTCACACTCATCTCTCAGCTAAATGAAATGCATGAAACACAAATTCAAGCAGTGAGCAACGATACTAAGAGAATGAGACAGAGAATTGGGGGATCCAACAGAAGGTGAATTCAGAAGAAGAGATAAGGGAAGTATACCTCAATATCCTTGACAAGAAGGTCCCGCTCTTCGTGGGAGAGCTCATCCCAAAGAGAAAAAACATCTTCCTGGCCATAATCCTTGAGGCGCTCGAGCAAGGCCTGCGGCGGTTGTTGCAGCAGTAGCTGTTGTGGCGGTTGCTGCTGAGGCGTCAACGGCGCATTGGCATCGAACCCAACGACCGCCATTGGCTCGGTCATAGAACAGAAAAGAGAGCGTAGCAGTCACAGATCTGTGGGGGTGAATGTGGAATGATAGTTGAGATTTGGGTGTCGGTGTGTGGTTTGGTTTTAAGAGCTTATAGAACAGTAAGGACGAAGAGAGGGGAATGGGCGAGTATAACCACCTGGTAGAAGGTAGGATGACCAAAATGACCCCATGCTTCCATTTCTTCTCTTAAGTACATAATCATGCTCTTCTTTTCTTCAATTTTAAGCTTATTCCAGCAATTTGTGTTTTTAACAAAGCTATTAATGTGGTTGAATCATCAATTATAAGTTTGGTATAACTTTATTTGGGTTTTGGTGTTTAATGAGCAACCAAGATTCCATACATTCAATTTGAATTTTCAATTAAACTCACACCCAACCGACTACCAAATCATAGAACGATTTTGATGGTTTTAGGAGGTAGGTCAGACAACGACATCAAAGAGGATAAAAAAACAAATGTAACTGGACCCGGATCTAATTAGATATGAAGGTAATATTTTAGCATGTATCAAATCTCGACACAAACTTCAAAGTTTTCTTTTATTTATTTTAATTTATGTTTAAAGATTTACTCCATCGATACAAATTATCATTTGTGCGAATAATTGAAGTATTATTTATACGGAAACAAAATAGCATTTATTTATGTTTTCTTACTTATTGATCTCGGATAATTGATAATAGCATTGGTCTTCAAATATATACTTAAAAATAGAAGGAGAAAAGAAACAGGCGGCAAATCAATCCCTATTATTGGTACAAAAGATAAAAGAAATTATTACATTTGATGAGGTGCACGTGAGAGTTTGTTTGCTATTTGGATGTTAAGGCCCACTTTTACGCGTGTGGTAGAAAAGGTGCACTTTATGAAAATTCTAGTAAGAAAAAATTATAATGTATTTCCAATGTTGAGTACTCTTTTATGCCCATTTCCTAAATAAATGATCAGAAATTTGAATATTTGTATTTTGAAATACGTGTGAAAAAAGAAAAGAAGAAAACGACATGTTGGGCCACCAAAGAAGTGTGCTTAAATGCAATGCGTGGGCTTTAAATTGTAGTGGGCCGAGGCAGCCCATTGCCAGGATTTTAATGTCAAGAATCAATCCCTGGGAGAATAGAAAGTAGGCAATTTTATTAATTAACTAATTAATATTTTGGCAATTGCAGTGGATTTATTTTCTTCAAACATATTTTTATAATATATAAATATTTAAGGATTCTTAATTAAGAGAGTAAAAAATATTTTCTTGTAAAAAGTAATTAAATACGGTTAATTCAATTGATAGTAGCTTAAGAGTTGGGTAGAGACTTAGCCTGAGACCCAAAGAATGCTACGAGCCCACTAAATTTTTGAGTCTAAACTGAAATTGGGCCTATACTCGTAGGGTTGAGTCGAACTATGATCGCGAGTAGATGGAAGACAAATTTATCGAAGTAATCAAGTAAGATAAATTTTTTTCTTTTGCGAGGGGGAAAGGCAAGAACATAGGGAGGGAGTGTAGTGTTAAATAGTAGTAGTATGGAGTAGTGCGTGGGTGCGAGAAAGAACAGGTAAGAAGCCCAGTTTGGTTATGATCCGAAGGGCAGAAGAATGATAGAAGAAGATAGAGGGCAGTAAGGTAAGGGGGCAACGCAATGGTAAGAGAATGATGGTGAAACCTCCTGCATGGCTTGAAGCCCTAATCTCTGAGTCCTTCTTCGCCCCCTGTGGGCTCCACCAGTCTGGGAGGAAGAACGAGTGCAACGTCTTCTGCTTACACTGTTGCCTCCCCATTTGCCCTCACTGCCTTCCTTCTCACCGCTCTCATCCTCCTCTTCTCCAGGTACAACAATCATTCCCTTTCCTTTCCTTTCCTTTCCTTTCCTCGCCTTGCCTTCTTAATCCCATTCCCATTCAATTAATTTCCCAGATTCGACGCTATGTTTATCACGACGTGGTTCGCCTTGCCGATCTCGAGAACCTCATTCACTGTTCTTATATTCAGGTTCAACTACAACTATAAATTTCTATAAATTTCTATAAATTCCCTCTAATTTCTATTTCTATTTCTATTTCAATATCTGGGTTTGTGTTGCGTTGTGCAGCCTTACACCATAAATGGAGCCAAAGTGATATTCCTGAACCACAGGCCACAGTCTAGGCCTTGCAAAGCCCCTTCCAATGTTTGTTTAACTTGCGCCAGAATTCTTCAACACCCCTTCCATTTCTGTTCCCTCTCATGCAAGGTGGATCACATGGTGTTTGAAGGGGCAGATCTTTCCACCATTCTGCTGAGGTTGGAAGAGTCGGATTTTGGGTTTTCACAATTGGAAGGGCTGCCGATGGATGCTTCCCAACTCACCGACGACGACGACGACGACGACGACGACGAGCACGCCCAAATCACGCCCAATGCTTTCTCCAAGAAGAACGCCAGTGGCTTCCTCCCTCCAATTGCTCTCTCTTTGGGTAGCCGGAGAAAGGGGGCTCCCCAAAGGGCTCCACTGTCTTAGACTCTTAAAATAATTTTTTTTTAAAAAAAGAGAGAGACACACATGTTTGTTGATTGTTAGTTAGTTAGGTGTTGTTAAGCTTAGGTTTCCCTGTCACAGTGTCTGCCTGCTTGTTTCTATTAAAAAATCCACAAGAAATCTAAAGCTAAGAGCAATTCCATGGGTAAGGGAATGTTGGGGAGCTTGGCTCTCAACACCACCAATTTTGTGCTCCATCATGCAATGGAATTCCGACCTATCTTTATATATATGTTTGTGGTATATGCTATATAAGCTTTCAAATTTATTTCAAATCTCCATTGCCTTTACTTCCCAAACAATTTCATTTTCCTCTTTTGCAATGCTCCTGCCTAACAATTTAGAGGCCCAATGTCCCTAACGGATACTATATATTATCTTATGAAGTAAATATATAAGGGAGGACAATATTGCAGTCTTCACTCTTACAAATATCATAATCAATAACATGATTACGATGCAAATGATTCTAATTGCATGTTATGTTACACAAACATGTGAGAAGTTGCATAATCTCACAAAAATATGTTGATAATTTCATCTCAAAATCACGTTAGAGATCTTAGAGAGCAAATTTAAAAGAACGGAGAAGTTTTCAAGTAAATTTAGAATCAAGTGAAGTTTTGAAAATAAAATTATAAGGGGAAACATGAAGGACGAAAATGGGGTAGGAAAAAGAAAGAAAGTAGATTATTATTGTTAATGTTATCTTAGAAAAGGGTGGTGGTAGTACCAATCTTTATCTTTATTGCTTTACTAAAATAATAATAAAATTATATACATAGAAAGAAAAAAAAAATGGTATTGATTTATGGGAGTTTTAAGGGACTTAGTTTTGTGTGTGTCTTGGAACTTGAAGACTAAGGATGAGATGTTAGGGTTTTGAGGAGCAAACAAAAACCAAAGTTATGGACATGGAATGGGGCAGGGCACCCCTTCATTTTCATTTTCATTTTCATTTTCATTTTCATTTAATGAATTAAAATATCCATTTATTTCCAATTTCACTATTTTCAAATTTGCTATTTTAGGGAATGGATTTTGACTTCACCTTTTGTCAGTTACTTCTAACTTCTGTCTCATTTGTTAGCTTTAAGTTAAACAAACAAACAAATAAATAAATAATTTTGTTTCTTTTTCCTAAGCAAAATCAATGTATATCTCAAATAAAATAGGAAAGGACTCATACAAAGTTTATTTAGTTATTAAAGAATGTATAAATTTTAGAGTAATTAAAAACATATTTATAATTCAAGTTCATAACACAAAATTTATAATTAAAACTTAGTATACCAAAATACACAATTTCTAGAGAGAGAGAGAGAGAGAGTAAATTATGTGTCAGCCTTAACATGAGCTTCAACCTCTCTCTCTCCCTCCTACTGCACCAAACCAACTCCTATATCTTTGGATTATATATGTTAATATACAAGTAATTTTTCCTCTTTTGGTATATCTATTTAGTTATCCACCCAACTCTAAATACGACGACAAAGTTATGATAATAATCCACTCATGAATTACCACCACAAACATATATAATTAAATCCAATTAGTTCAACCCCTAAGTCACTACTACGAACACCCCGGGAAAAGAATAGTGCCCACAAGGTTGTAGAGTTTGTAATTTTTCTCAAGCTAGAGAATGACCTATAGTAATGGCCTCAAACATGCCCTTTAATTCATTTCAGATGTGAGCAAAACTCATCCGCCAAGAATATGGTAAGCAAGCAGGTTCTCTTTGTGGCATCTTTGGTTCATCCATTCTGCATGTTGGTCCGAATATGGTATCCTTTTCATTATCATCTCCCCCTCTCAAATACCAACACAGTATAAATTCTTAAAAGGGGATGATTTTTCTAATCAATCAACATTAAAACTAATGTTGACTTCTAATATGATTGAATGAATTTTCATTCCAAAAGAAAAAAATAATGGGATGGGGTTCATAGGCGTGTCGCCTTAATTCCGGCATCAGCTTGAAACGGACCTGTCATTGTTTATAACAGCTTTCGTGGGGTTCTTGCACGTGGCACCACACCCCAATCACACACTTATTACACAACAACACGCACCAACAACATCCCAATTTATTGTACCACTTACCAATATTAAATGCCAGCTCAATTTCCTAACAACAATTTCTTTTTAAAATTTATGTTAATGCTATAAACTAAAAATTGTTAAGGGGAGAAAAAATCACAAGGGCAAGACGACAAAGCTTGTCCATGTGTCGGTTTGGTTCGTCTTCTTCCTTTACACATCCAACCACAAACAGAGATTCCAATGATTTCTGTAACGGTAGAACGTGATTCTTGACAAAATTAATTGCTTCAATCAAATCAAATCCACTTGTTTTCTAACTTCCTCTACAGTCTATTCTATAGGGGCTCTTAACACTTGAAATTTATCGACCATCAATCAAAGTACACTTGAGTTTATTATTTGACACTCTCAAAAACCACACCAACAGCATAAAAATGAAACGTTTCTAAACTAAACTAACTCAAAATCTGAAACTATCTTACGAACAAATCACAATGTCCTACACGTTGATCTATAGTTGGGCGAAATTTGATCAGTGTAGCATACCTTAAGTAGAAGTTCGTGAATAAAGATGATTCCTATGCAGAAGCATAAACAGTTGGGAAACAGAGTAAGAACTGTTTAGTTTTGAAGCAGTGCCAAATTCAACATCCGTATCATCTCTTCTACTATTCAACCTGATAGGGCAGACCCCTCTAACCTCATAATATGAGCACTATAGCAACTGAAAGAGGAGATAGAAAGAGAGAGATTAAACGAGGGAAAAAGAAAGGGGACCCATGATTCAAAACGACTCTGAAATTGAGCACAAGCATTGTACGATGAAGAATCAGAGCTTTTCAGAAAGGCTACTTAATCCACCCTTTCACCTCTCCTCCCATGAGAATTCATATATACTCACAACATCAACTGTATTATATACAAAACCCATAACTTAAAACACTCATATTTTAATCCTAAAACTATCACACCTCTACAATTCTATCTTAAATAATGGTTCGACTTTCAAGTCTAGAATTGTTTTGCAATGAAAGTTTTAACAACATATGAATGGGGATGTACAAGACCTACCTAGTTATTATTAAAAAGAAAAGTAGTACAAGGGGAAAATAAATGGCAGAGGAAAAAAAATGGGGACAGTGGAAAAAAGGGGCGAACTGAAATGAAAGGATGGCGAGTGGGTGGAAGAATAATGGATTGTATTTCCAATACAATTATAACGAGAACAAGAATAATAATAATAATAATAGATTAATAGCAATAGCATGCAATGGAAATGCAACTTTTCATGCATTATATATAATTCTATATAGGCGTGGAATGACCCTACCTGATATGACCAACCATGCATTGACTCTATCCTTTTCTCGTTCAAACTCCTTCATCATTCACCACTTTGCAGCCACCAATTTTCTGTTTCCATACTGTTTAATTTGATTTCATTGCCGTTCTTCTTCTCTCCTTTTTCACTGTACCAAATTAGTTAGAATCCTACCCATCAAAGTTTAATTTTATTTAAGATTTTTGTTGATGATCAAAGGGATTTTCTAATATTACTTTTAACTAACTAGGCGTCTATATATCCATGCTTCTTATTCTTCTATTGAATGTTGAAACCTATTTTGAGATCTGATAACTTGCAACAACAGCAAGAATTTTTTAGGAGGGCTAACTACATTATAATGTTAGCTTAATCGATTCTCAGTCTATGACTATTATAAGAAATTACAATATTTCTGCAAAAAAAAAATGCTTACATAGCTGAAATTGCTAATGACAACTCTCAATATTAATGGACTCGGACTTCTGTGAAGGTCTTGGTAGATAAGAGCGTATTTAAAGGAGTCAGAATGAAGGATAGAACTCTTGGGCAAAGTTGTAGATCTCCAAAGACTTGAAAGACAGATTATCACTTATTTGAAGTGGAGGAAGAATGGGATGAAGTAGAAATGTAAAATATATGAAAAGGCATTCTTGTGCTCATGCAAGGGCCTTCAAATTAAATATAGAGTGTAGAGACTTACCCTTCACATAGTTGTCAATGTCTAACTTGGAATATATGCGTCGAAGATTGTTGGGAGAGAGTTACACCTGGGCTAATTTAGGAAATGATCATGAGTTTATAAGTAAGAAATACATCTCTATTGGTATGAAGCCTTTTGAAGAAGTCCAAAGTAAAACTATAAGAGCTTATGTTCAAAGTGGACAATATCAGACTATTGTGAAGATCCGTGATTCCTAACAATATGATCATCCTGGTAACATATTATTTAATTAAAAAATATGACTTTGAGCATTGGATTTAAGTGCTCGTACAGTCTCTCCACATCTGAAACCATAGAATGTCTAACAAGAAAAGAAAAATAGAGAGTTTGAGTGGACAACAAAGGCTGAGACCTAAACGTATGAGAAGTTCCAACATCACCATATAACCATTTGTCAAATAGACTAAACATCTAATAAATCGCAAGAAAATTGTAAAACAACCAAATCGAGCCCATCTCATAGAATGTCTCATCTTCTTCAGCAACATATAAACTATAGAGTTTTTTTAGATAAAATATTTACACGTATAATTTTAACGGTAAAGACTAAATTGTTATATGCTAAAGTTTATAGACTAAAATGTCGCTAATTTGAAAATAGATATTGAAACAAGATCGGTTGAAACTGAAGTTCAAAGACAAAATCGTTACTCAAAAGACTAAAAGTAACTACTTTGGGAAAAAGATTTCTATAATGTGCACAAAACATGGGCTACGTACTGTTGTTCTTTCAACCGTTTGGAGAGAATTGAAAATGAAGAAAAAAATTATTGGGAGATTCAAGTCATTGCGAGATCGGAATTTTGAATTAGTTGATATAATGGCTATATGTTGGAGCTGATTTAAAGTTTGAATTAAAGAACACAAAGAATTAGGTTAAGACAAAGAAAGGCAGGAAGATGATTGGCTCCCCAATCCCATCACAATTCAGGAAATGGGTCAGGCCTTTTTTAAGTTGGAGCAGAGCAGAGCAGAGCAGAGAGCAGCTGGCTGCCATTGCCATTGCCATTTTCTGATTTAGATCTCTCTCATCTTCTCTTTCTTTTAGTAGTTTTTGATGTACCCGCTCCTTCTAACCTACGGTTACAAGATTACTCTCTACATCTTTCTTCTCTCTCTTCCTCCTCTTTCCTCCTGTTTTCCTTGTCTTTTCTTCCCCCTTCAAATTCACATTTCTCATCCTCAAATAAATTTTACAATAACAAGGCACAAAATAGTATTATTTTCATCTACTTTTTAGGGTATTTTGAAACTTCTAAATAAAAAAATTAAAAAAAAGTAATCAAGAAGAGCTTGTATATAAATCCATATTTAAAATATAACGCCACTTTTCTATTTTTAAAACAAATCCATATTTATAAAAATATTGTTCATAAAATAGCCATTGATAAAATTTTAAAATTATATAAAAATTATTATCATTATTCCACCAATTATTTAATAAGAATTAACTTCAAACTAACAATAAAAACTAATTTTAGGATTTATTTAAAATACATTAACTAAATTTAGATATTTGAAAATATAAGAAGTAAAATAAAATAAGGTTTAAAGTCTATAGACCAAAATGATATTTAATTTAATTTTTTCAGTACTTGTTAAGATTTCAATTTTTTTCCCTTTAATTAGCAGCATTAAATAAAATGAGCTGGCGTTTGTTTGGATATTTAACAGTAAAGTTATTTAAATTAATAAATTTTAAAATAAAAATAAGTGTAGAATTAAAAGAAAAGAGAGATTAAGATAGGTCATGGTTGTCATAGTCGGAGTGATGGCGGTAGGCATTATGGGTGATAGAGATGGAGCCCAGATATCAGATATTCCAGACGCCATCATTGTCCCAATCCTTTGACTCATTTATACTGATGCAACCCTTCCTTTGACCCTATAAAATAAAACCCTCTTTCTCTCTCCATCTCTTGCTTTTAGGTGGTTCAATGACTGCCTAAACCCCACCCTTTCTCTCTTCATTCATTTTCATCCGTTTTGGTTGGAAACTGTCTTGTCAACACAGCCCTTGCTTCACCATCTGCTTAATCCATCATTTCCATTCAACAACTTATACTTCAGACCTTTACAACTCTGCCCTTCACATCTTTCCATACTTCAAGACCAAAACTCTCTTGAAACCTAAACAGGCCCTTGGGTTTATGAACAGGTTTCAAATGCATCATGAAATCTAATCTCATGCCTAAACTCTAAACACTTGTTAATTCATTCTACCAGGATCTAATTGTACTCTGAAATTAATTATTCAAAGACCGTGTAGATTGCTATTTATGTAGCTTCGGGATAGGGAATTCCCTATCAGGAAAGGTCTTTATCACATTTACAAAAATTGAAAGGTATATTGGTAGTTGGAGGAGGTGTGAAAAGTTATCTGTCGTTTTTCTTGTAGTTAATGTTTATCATAATATCATTTTGTTCGGTAGATTATCTGGCTCTAGTTCAAGTTTGGTTGTTTTATGTGTTGTTAGAAGTTCTATATATTTTGTACGTACAATATTTTAACCTGCAGGCCTGGTTAGTTGCAAAGAAATATCAAAATTGGCTCAAGTATTCTGGAAAAGTACCTTCCTTCAGCTTCTATTCCATATAAAAGGAAGATATTGGACGTCAGATGCGCTTCTGATTTTTTTGGTTTCAGGAAACAAACACCAATAGAAGAACTGGATTCCTGGCTATATTATATATAAAGGATACGTTTGGCACAAAATTTAGTTCAGTCCACCCCCACCGAAGATCAAGGCATAACTTATATCTAAGCACACATGAAGTTCGAGTTCTTACTCCTTTGTCAAATTTCAGACAAAACAGTCAAGTCCAACTTTCTCATCTAGGCAAACGTGATCTATTGGTACATATAACGAGTTCAATAGGTCTGAAAATCAGTAAACGCATAGTAAAACATGAGGTAGGGGAAAGAAACTGATTGCGCATTAAAAAAAGTTTAGCTTGCAGCACATCTCCACTTCAACTGTTGATGCTTATTTTCATGGATTTAACTGGACTATATACTCTTATACTTCCTATCACCCAGTTTGAAAAATTTTATTTAAAAAAGTTCAGATGTGTACAGAATAAAATTTCAGTTGTAGAGCAGGCAAAAAGGAAATAACATTACATGGGTTTGACTGAAATTGTTGCATGTCCGATGCTCATCTCAAGACAACTTTCAACTTGCTATGAACCTGTTCTCTCACATTCCACTGCATTTGCAACCACAAAATGAGGTTGTATTCAAACTTCTTTCTAAAACAAACTAATATATAAAAGGGATACAAAGTTGATAGTACCTGCAAATCATTGATTTCTTCATCCGTGAGTGACCGTTCCATAGATCGGTAAGCAATCCTGTAACAGTGACTCGTCATCCCCTTCTTGTTGTTGGTATAACTGTCAATCAATCGCACCTGCCAGCATCCGTTTGTAAAGAATGGAAATTATTTCACTAACGAGGTGAACGCCAGGTAACTGAAAACACCAAACTTTTTAAAAGTGCATCCATGAACAATAGAAAGTTTTTAGGTTTACACATGCAGCTTTATTTTAACAACCAAACTTCAGAGAACAGATAACTAAGAACGGCTAAACAACAATATTCAAAAATAGAAATAAAAATTTCTCCTGACCCTACATTAAGCATTTACTTCACTAAAATTATCTTTAAAATTTTTTATGCACTTGAAAACAGTTAATTACATACCTCTTCAACAAGATCACCGGCAATTCCTCTAACAACTTCACATAAATTATTCTCGGTGAAAGATTCATTGATCCAAAAACTAACGTCCTTGTAGCAAGGTGGAAACTGCAGCAGATGCAATTACTTAAACTTTTCAAGATAATTTACAACATATAATTTGTTAGAAGTGATATAGAAACTAGTGAGAGGTTCCTTAAAGAAATAGAATTAAGAATTAATCTCTCCATGCCTAAAATGCGATAATAGTACCTTAGAGAACGGTTTAAATTTAACACCTAGTTTGCCCTTTGAAAACTGCAAATAAAAAGGCGAACGTGATGATTGGATAATTTATTTTTTGAGAACATATCAAAGGACAAACAAAGTAAAAAACAATGAAAGAGTACTGTTAAATGATACAATTAGATACCTGAGAGGTAAATCGCTCATCAGCTGACCAAAATAAACGGATATCAGGTATATCAAAAAGAACCATAGCCAGCCTTTCCAATCCGAGTCCAAAAGCCCATGCAACATTGTTCTCTTTACCACTTCTTTTCAATATTTCTTGCTCCATCACTCCACATCCCAATACTTCCAGCCATTTCTCCTGCATGGGTAGAACATAAAATAACTCCTCAGATGAAGGATTTCTTTTTATTATCTTTGGTTCGAAAGAGAGACAAAACAGACAATAAATTCCAAGAAGGTATTAACAGCAAACGTAGTGTAAATAATTTCATGAGGAAATCTAAAACATGATTAAAAAATTATCCATTCATTCCTTAATAGCATTCATGGGAGGAAATAGTAGTTGAGAAACGGTTGTGGCTTGTCAGGACGACTCCTTGTCACCTTTTTTTTTTTTCCCTTTGATTTATTCTATGATATTTTTTATATCTCATCAAAAGAAAACAAAAAATTGCATCTATGCCCTCCCCCAAGCATGTTCTTCACCCTTCAGTTCCCTAGTCTAATTTATCAAAAAAAAATTGAAAGGGTTCAATTTTAAGTTCATATATGATAAACCAGAAATGCCACTAGAAATGGAAGTTTAAAATTGAAATACATAGACTTAAATGTATTTTGGTAGCAATGAAAGTCATTTATGAAAGAAGTAATGCAATGTGCCATAATCAAATTATTGAATTCTGAAGAGAAAATTGACTAAAAGATCATCTATGTACCTGAAAGAAAATCTCAAGTTCAAATGATGGGTTCGTAAATGGAAAGTATGTATCAACCCATCGCATTTCCACAGCACCTGGCAGGTTTAGTAGATTAGTTTATGATAACATAGCTCCATTACGTGTAAAACCGATGCAAAACTTAAAATTATTTTTAAAATCAAAGGCTAATTAGAAAAGTGGGGGAATTCATTCTTCATTGTTATCTAAAAAATGCAACTACTTTTGGAAGTTTTTTTCTTTTTTTGGATCATCTGCAAAATAGTAATCATTAATACTTATCTGATTTATTATATTTGTTACTCCTAAAGTTTGTCTTTTACCTGCCTATTCTGGAAGCGTAATTATATTGACTCTACCCAAAACTCATTTGTATTTTCCAATTTGAATTTCCAACAGAACTACCTACTCATAACTAAGGCAGAAGGGAAGAATCATATATGCCTTAATTCAGATACGTCTCTTACCAAATAAGTGCCTTGCCAAACCTTCCAAGCATTTCTTCAAGTCGTCAGCTGCATAAGATGTTCCATCTGTGCTGGATGCCTCCCAATCATTTAGAGAAAAAACACGGACACCTTCCATCTGTGAAGTAGGCAAAGAAATTCACCAAATGAAAACTTTGGTAAACTTAGCAAAAGACTTGATTACTATATTTATTTAGAATACCTGATGAAATACAGGGTAGTGAGTTGAATCAATGGAATCCCGACGGTACACATCTCCTGTCACAAGAAACTGAGTATATCCACTTCTCAACAGCTCCGCCTGATGAGCACTTGTATGACATCTCAGGACAGTTTGTGAGTCAATATAGTACGTATCATTATAACTTCGGCTTACATGATCTTCTGGAACCAACACATCATCAAAATTCTGCGGACATAAACATAGGATTAAGATAAAAGAGGCCTTGTATGTTAAGAAGTAATTGTTAGTATTAAAGAAAAGCACGTAAGCTATTAAAATTCAGGAAAAAGAATTTAACCAATTGCCCGGAAGTTGTCAACTACCAAACCGAGCCCGCTTATTCCAAAAAAAAGAAAAAATCAGTACTTCAAAAAAACACACACAGCATACAAAGTTACCCAAAAATTTAGTTTTGAATTTAGTTTCTATTTGATCCTTAAAGGTTTCAAAAGTGGCCGGTTTGGTCTATGAGTTTATGTCTTGTCCTTTTCAGCAAAAATTAACTACAAAAGATAGCTGATGTACATAAAGGGGGCGCTCCAAATTGAACGTTCTACATGCTTAAGTACTGCAGAAACTACAAATGTAAAAAGGAACCTAAAGAGAAAAAAATATGAGATGCAGGTTCTTCGGGAATGGAACTCTTTAAATAATGCAAAGGGCGTAGGAATGTTGTCCATATCCTAGCAATGCTATAAAAGAGGAATGTGAGCAAAACTCAGATTTCAAATAATATTGAAACTAAGTCACCATTTACTAAGAAATGTTTTAAAAAATTAATAAACTCTTCAAGTGTTGGAAGCTTTTTTTTTTTTTTTTTTTTTTTTT